GACTGCTAGTCTTTGAGCTTATGAATGTGTCCTGTGTGATGCTAGTGCACTTTTCACAACGCTACGAAACAAAGTACAAAGTCTAAATTAGGGTAAAAACAACATCAGCTGACCGGAAAGGGGGAAGAACTTCTGGTATATGATCAAGAAGGTTGGATATAAAAGGAGAGCTTCTGCTTTGACTTTTTCTCAGTTTATTCTTACCAGCGTAGAGGAGAGTGGTAGAATCGTTATCTATTAACCCAGAAGACAAGAATTTTCAGCCTGAGGATAGCGGCATGCCATGCCCAAATACCTTGAGCGCCAGCAGAACCGGTTCAAGTTCCTCCAGAAGCCCCTCCTCCAGTTGATCAGGCTCAAGCTCTGCCTGTTGAACAAATACCTGATCTTGTTCCTGTCCAACCACAAGTTGGTGGAGCTTTAGCAGGGGATGGAGTGCACAAGAACTGGAAACATCCAAACAGAAATTGGAGGTATGTTGATGTATATAAATATTTTCTAGTTGCATGATTCTTTTGGCACAGGTCCGACTAAGGATTACATGCAGAGTGTATATATGATAATAATATCTACTTATGGGATGATTCGTTTGACAAGGGTTCGATTGATGACCACAAGCAGAGTTTGTAGATGAAAATATATTAACTTGTAGTATAATTCTTTCGGCAAAGGTTCGATTGATGAATACAAGCGGAGTTTATACATGAAAATATATTTACTTGTAGTATGATTCTTTTGGGAAGGGTTTGATTGATGACTACAAGCGGGGTTTATGTTAAAAAATATATTTACTTGTAGTAATGATTCTTTTGGCAAGGGTTCGATTGATGACTAGAAGTGGAGCTTATTTATGAAAATATTCATACCGGTAGTATGATTCTTTCGAGAAGGGTTCTATTGATGACTACAAACCGAGTGTATCTATGAAAATAACCTATAGTACTGGTTGTATGATTTTCCTTTGGCCAGAGTCCATTGTTTCAAAATTAATTAAGTGTTGATTGCCTAACCGTCATTGTGATAATGAAATTTGTGGCGGGATTTTATCATAGGCCTATAAGACAGGAGGAAAATTAATTGTAATTGCGGCCCATTTATTTTTTGAGGTTTTAGATTCACACTTATTAGTGAGCTTAAGCAAGTGACGTTTTTGACAACACGTACGTTGACCGGAAGTACAGTTTTTATTTTTCACCAATCACAATCCTTGACCCAGTCTTTTGGCGTTACTCATGCCGTTTGTGTTGTCAAAAACGTCGCTTGCTTAAGCTCACTAATATCTAGAATTTACAACAGAAATATGATGAAATGAAAAAATCTATGGATTTACTAACCACATCCTCTGTTGACGGTTTACTTGCGAACGTTCGTAATTTTGCATCGCATCCTATAGTAGAGTTTAATAAATATGAGGCCATTGAAGTAGTAGACGCCCTAAAGAATGCAGCACCTGATGCCCATCGTGATAAAGCTTTGTACTATTGTTTGCATAAGAAACACTTTGGGGAAAAATTGGCCACAAACCTGTTTTGTTTAGCAGTTTTTTGTTATCCTTGTTTGGAGATAGAGACCAGAAGAAATTATTGGATCTTGTTGCTAAAGTAGAGAAGACTCATGAACGTCAAGGATCGCAGGTGCCTCCTCTACGTTCACCATATCTGTTACCTAACGGAGTTTGTTGTTATGGGTGTAATCGTTTTGGACATATCCGGGCTAGTTGTTATGATAGTAATTGTCGACCTCCCCAGGCGAAAATCATGATGTCTCGAAAACCGATTCCGCGAAATCGAAATGACACTAGTTAAATGACACTTACAAATTGTGTGTTAGAAATATTATTGATTTCTTGCTGAGTTAGACTTGTGTTGTGTTAAATCATTGGTATTGAATTATAATAATTATCACCATATTTAAATTTGTAATTTATTGTGTGGGGATTTCATTTCACTGTGGGATAGTAGAAGTGACAGTTTTGAAACCAGAGTCTCTAATCAAACTCTCCTGGTCATATACCGGGTCATTTCTGTCACCCCTGCTGGTCCCTACCTGGGCTAAGAATGTATTGCCGGTTGTTTATGGATTCAGTCCCTTTATGATCTGTATCATTTACTTGTTTAGAAAAACCCTCCCTTTGTGTGGGAATGGGAGTACAGCGCTAATTTTGATATCGTTATTGAACAACAGACCATGTATAATGAAAAACCTTTATATTGGGTAAATTCAATGTTCAAGTCTCTTGGGCCAGTCCTGGGGTGACAGTCTAACCATATAATGGAACATTTCGTGGCAAACATTATAACTCTGCTTGACTGCCGAAGACACACCTTAAGAATAATTTTTCATGCAAGTCATTCACTGATTTTACTTCCTCTACTCTGGTCACCCGTCTTGCCATGGGTGCGATTATCCTAAAAGGAAAGGTTGGCGAATGTGAACCACCCTATTTAGTTCTGCCGCTGATGGTAGAGCCTAGTAAGCCTGGGTTGTGTTATGATGCACATTTTCTGAACCTTTGGATGAAAGATGCCCCCCATTTTCATTGGACACTTATCAGACCATATTTGATGATAAATTGGGATACGACCATATTTTTCTCCACCCAGAGAGCTGGCCCTATTTTGGTTTTCAATGGGGGGTTGGTATTTTTATGTTTCACTCCCTTTTGGATGGAAAATCTCTCCTTTAATCTATCATTCCATTGGTTTTTTTCGTCTAATTTTTTTCGCTCGATTGGTATTCCTTGCTCTTTATATATTGATGATCGCCATAATGGCCAGCTGCAGGTTTCATCAACCCAGGGAGCTTACAGGGTGATGAAAACATCTGATGAACAGAATTTTGCTGCAGCTAAGTCTGCGTTGTATGTGGTAGCGGTTTTGCTCATACAGTTGAGATATTTCTTGGGATTGAAAAAATCAATTCTTAATTAAACCTCAAAAAATTGTTCCATACTTAGGGTTTTTGTCAGATTCAGTATGCGAGGTCTTTGCACTTATTCCGTTTAAGCGAGAAAAACTTCTCATATTTCTTAGTCAATTTCTCCAACGACCCACAATTTCACTCCAGATGTTGGAAAAATTAGTGGGCAAATGTGTGTTTATGTCACAAGTTGTCCCGGTGCACTTTTGTTTACTTGTGTAATGCTATCTCTAAAGCTTTGAGAACTTCCAAGCCTGTGCCGCTTTCTGGTGCTTTACGAGAAGAAATTTCTCACTAGTTTTTTTTCAAATCTTGGGATGATCCTATTCCATGGCGTAAAGAGCATCACATCCAAGTTACTGTGGCTTCGGGATGCTTCTAACAGTGGCTGGGGTGGTCTGTCTAATCCCGATTTCAGGTTAATGGACACAAAAAGAAAATGATTTGGATATTTGTACTAAGGAAGCTATTGCTCTTGAGAAAGTCCTCACTGCATATTCCTCATTTCTATGTGATCTACGCCCATGTTGATGCCATGGTAGATAACCAGCCATTCATTCACTCTTGGGAGAATGAGTGGCCGAAGTCCTTTTGCTCATTGTGGCTATAAAGACAATATTTTTTGTTACCCTTTGTTTTAATATATATTTGCATATGTCATATATACCTTCTTCAGACAATCTGGCCGATGTTCCATCCCGACATTTATCGAACAATGATTGCACTCTCCATTCCACCATCTGGCATACGGTCCAACTGGAATTAGGTGGGGTGGAAGGCCATATTCGCTCAAGATATGTCTTCTGGGGAGCCGTTTCTCCAATGTTGTTATGCCTTCCCACCGTTATCACTGGTGGGTGTGCTACTTCGTTATATGCAGCAATGTTGTAAGTCATTTACATTAGTCATCTTAGACGTCTATATAAGAAATACGCTTCTCAAACCATTGAAGGATGGGTGGGTTCCATATAGTAGCCTTCCAGCAGATTTAAGGGCGTTTGCTTTGCTCTGGTTTTTCATAGTGGGTGGTAACAAGTTCAATGTAATTAATGTTTAATGCCAGATAAAGGGTTTATGTCTTATCTTGTATATCTTTTGTTTGTTTTTTGTTTTTGTATTGTATAGAATCTTCCGCCGGTAGAAAAAATGTTTGTCCCTTTTGTAACTTGTCCGAATTGTTGCCATCCCAATTCTCACGATTTTCGTTTTTGTCAGCGGTGTGGGTATCAACGAAAAATTTTTTATTTGGTCAATTCCGTGTCAAAGCTGGTAGACGATCTTGAATCACTTGATCGTTGTTTGTCACAATTGGCAGCAGCTATCGAAGCAGTTAGAAGCGCAGGTTTTTCTGTGTTGTACAAATCTTGCAGGCTGTTAGCAAGCTGAAAATCAAGTTCCATTTCATTTGGTTTGTCAGGCTTTACAGGTTTATCTGTATTATCATGTGAGTCAAGCTTTACAGGTTTATCAGTATTATCTTCAATATCTTGTGAGTCAGGCTTGACTAATTGTATTTGGCGTAAGCTAATTCGTTTTGCATGTGCAATTCTCTTTTATTCAAGATGAATTTGTTGTTACCGAATCTAACTTGCTCTTGCTGTGTTAAACTTGCTTTTGCCATGACACTTATGGGCATCCGTGAATGATGTCTTCTTAGGATGGTTCGGTATAAAACTCCAGCTTCCCAGGCTACAGTCCGGAACGATGAATGTTAAACAAATCTGATATAGCCATTTCTGGTATATGAAATCTTGGTCGATAAGGCATACAAATAGGAATTATTTTAATATGAAGAACTTTTAATAATAAAGTATGGTTTACAAAATAAAAAGTGTGATAGACACATGATTGGAATGGATAATCATTGTTCCCAATTTGTAGTTTATAGTTTTGCAACGTATATGTTTGAACAAATTAATGATAAAAAATAGGTTCAAATTTGTACACAATTTACTTTGTAATGAAAATAATGAGACAAATATATAGTACTTTGTGAGTGAATTCATTTTATGTTTGATGTGATTGGCAATTAAATTAATACCTGCTCCACTTGTTTATTTAAAAATATTAGACAAAAAGATATGAAACTAAATGAACTTGAATATCTCACAACAAGACAAATGGTTAATGTTGAAGTCATTTTGACCTTGGGTAATGAGAAACCAAAGGAAGTAACCAAACGAGATAGCAAAGCTGGTTATGTTAAAGAAGATTGTGTTGCCGAGGATGAATCCGGATCAGCAATCCTGGGAAAAATCCATGGCTAAATGTGAGAGTGGTAAAAGTTATAAAATTTACCTGGAACTACTACTGAGACAACTTTCATAAAGTCCAATTTCGAATTGGATAATGTGAAAGGTGACTGGCTACTGTTGGCTGCAGAAAAGGAAATCATTGTGGAGGAGTTCAAAATGGTTGATAAAATGAGTTCATTCCTCATCTGCCAAGCAAAAACCTGCAACAAACATATGCCAACTCCAGCAATTGGACCACGTTTTTCAAATGTGAAGCATGTGGAACATCTCAAAAGGTGAGGTTTGCACAGCGGGCTACCTCTAAACGGCTTTGTGCTGAAGTAGGTCGAGACGATTTGTAGCTATCCGCCTGCACTGATGTGATGGAAACTCTTCTAGCTCTAGGAAATCTTGGAAAGAATGCTAAAGTTGATGAAACCAATTTCATCATTGTTAAGTCTGGAAAACATTAAGCTAAAGATCGATGTTAAGTCTAACTATATTTTAAAGGTCCTTTGACTTTCAAGAGACATCCAGTTGATAAACATTTTATATAAGATACATTTATGAGTCCAGACATTTAACAGACATTTCGTCAATTTGTTGATAATTTATATAGCTAAAAGTTTGAAAGAGGCATTTGTTTAAGCTCTCTTAATTCTGATTACTTGAAAATATATCGTAAGTGGTCATTTTACAGATCTAACGCCAGACAATTTCTCATCATTTGGAAATCTTTCACGGTTAATAAGATGGGTGCAGGCTCTTGTTTGAATAAAATGAAGGTGAAGGAAAAATATCTGCTATGTGAACCAGCTCACAGGGCATAAACTTGCACAGAATGGACTTATAGACAATGCTGATTGTCAATATATGTATTTAAACTATTTTGCTCAAAACGAATGGAAATATTACCTTTTTATCCAAAAAATTAAATCTTGTATGAATATTTTTATCTAGATATATTTATCTAGCTTGATAAATGACCATGCCCTCCTCACTATTCTAATACTAGGAGTTACTATCGCAAGTGAAATGCTGCCTGGGAGAAAGATTTGGTACGCATACCTGCTCAACAGTTGTATTTTCGCATTACGAGATAAGATGTAAGCTTAAATCATTCTGCCAAAAAACGTATGGTAGTCAATAGTATTTAAATTTAATTTGTTTTTGAATATAAAATCAAATTGCGATTGCTATAATATAAACAGAAGTGCTGAATAGAAGATAGAAACGGTATTGAACTGATGGCTATGGCACATAATTATAGTCATAAAGTGGATTCATGCATTCTTTATAAAAATACAATTAAGATAATATTCACAGTTACACATTTTTCTATTTGAAGATTATTTAACAAAGAAGTATTATTTTATATAAATAAACAAAGAGAAGACAATGACATAACATAACATCACATCACATTAGTTAACATAATTGATTATCACATGACATAAAAAAATCAAGAATTCTATGTACAGGTAACACTGTATATTTGCATTTTGTCAAAAAAATTTATCTCAGGTTAAGTTTAAGTTATCACATTTTGTATACTACTCAGATGATACCATAGTTCATTTGGATTAATTGATAAGTTGTTCATTATCCCTCTTTCAGAAAGCTACAAATATTGCATTCCACATATGAAAATATCTTAAATAATAACATATTGAAATGTTTGAGAATTAACTTTTTTCTTTGAAGAACGTTTTGGAAGTAGAACACTGTCAATATTACATCAATACATGACGTTATTTAAAACTGCCAGATCCATGAGATTGAATGCTAATTTGGTTCATGTGTCCACTGGTAGCACACGACCGACAGGTAACAATATACCATACATGTTTCTTCACTATAACTGTATTTTTCTTGAGCAAAATAATGTCTCATCGCTTGCCTAGCAAGATACTTTGAAGAAAATCCTTCATTCTCTGAAGTCGTCTTTCGTACAAGAGGTGCGACGAGGTATCGAAGACGAAAAATTTGAAAGCAGCTGGAAGTTTTAAAACCGTATGACGTTTATGAAAGAGGGTGTTGTCCGTAGTTTAACCCAAGAAGCCATGAAAGAGTGGAGCGAAGAGGAAATCAACACACTTATTGAGTTCTATGAAAACCATCCTGTTCTCTGGGACCACCATTCCAAAGACTACAGAGACAGGCAAGAGGGCAGCAAAAAGTCTGGTAGTGCGACATCCAAGGTCTACAAGATAAAGTGGAAATTTTTTACATTAATGTCGTTTGTCACATTGGCTGACAATCTTGACGTCTCGCAAACCACCTGGGCTGATGAAACAGAGGTTTTACCCACTCCACACAAGCAAAAGAGAAAATTAAATAACATAGAAGAAGACAGAAAAGCAGAGCTTTACAAATCTTGTATAGAAGCCTTGAAGCCAAGCAATGAAGCATTATCTGAAGAGGAAACCTTTGGTAAGACAGTGGCAGACACACTGTCTCGCTTCACAGTCCCTGAGAAAGCTATTGCTAAGAAAAAAATTAATGTCTTGTTTGAGCTTGAGATGGGTGCTTTTAAAGGCTGTACAGGCAATAGCCTTTCAGCCACAGTTACTCAACCACCCATACAATATGTTGTCACAGGTCAGAACTATCCACATTTACAACCAATGTGAAAAGACACTTTAATTCATTTTGTTACAATACAATAACATATTTTTCAATGTTTGTACGATACATGTTGTTCTTCTATGGCATATTTTAAATTACTTATTTATTTGTACATTGAGTGAATTTAATTTCAAAATAATGAAATTGCAATGTAATTTTAATACAGTTTGATTTATAAATGTTGAATGTTTAAAATTCAATTTAAATAAAATTTACAGATATATTACAATATAACATTTTCATGTTGTAATATAATTGTATCCTCTTTGTATGAATGCAAATAGTATTAAAGAATGTTTAGCATTGTTGCAAATTCTTTAGCTGATTTGTGAAAAATTATTTCTGTATCCTTTGCCCCTTGCCCTGATATGAAAGGCCCTACAGTTATATTAGGATAAAGAAATACCTGCAAATTTTACCAAATATAACAAAAATCAGAATCATACTTTTGAACTTTCACCATCTTTTAAAAGGAAGTTGTGCAAAGTTATAATTGCCAGAACAACCTGTGTTACTTTCTCAGGGCAAAGATAGATGACTGATCTAAGAATAGGCCAACAACTTGCTGGTATTCCAAAGGCGTTTTTGGAATTTCTTCTATTTTGGGACAGACGTTAATTGAAAATCCGTCGTTAAGTGGTGAGCCAGCTTCAGGGTAAGGCTTCATCATATAGGTAGTAAGTGCAAAGGCATCATCCACGGTAAAAACAAAGTGAACTTGCTTAGTTCTACCAGGAAGGGCTTTGGGCTTAGGAAGTTTCAAAGGGTTGTGGTCTGCTGTCATTGCATGTTTCAGTCCACATTTCTGCCATACAGTTCCATCAGATGCCCTGCCATTAGTACCAACATCAGCCCACAATATTTCACATTGTGGACCAACTGCTGCCAACAAAATCAGGCTATTATGGCCCTCATAATCGTAATAGTGAGATCCACTGTTTCCAGGTTGTAGTATATTTATACACTTGCCATCAACAGCCTCCATGCCATTAGGAAAGTTCCATCGTTGCTCAAACCACAGTTATTAGAATTATACATGGTTTGGAGACTAGATGGAAGTACAATACAACTCATTATCTATGTTATTGTCCAGGTTTGTGCAAAAAATGGTTTCTTATCCGTCGCATGTCTATTGTATTTAGGCCTAACATGTCTATTGTATTTAAACTAACCAATAGCAATGGCTTGGCTTAGCTCCTCAAACGTGACTTGAACAACATGTTAATTCAGACCTCACTCAGTGGCGTAACGGGGGGTGTCAGGGTGTCAAGTGACGGGGGGCCCCCGAGCTTTAGGGGCCCCCGGCAAAAATGAGCATAAAAAATTGATAGTACATTTCTGTGGAATTTAATTAAGAAAATTAGATAGGGTGCTACCTCTATCTGAGTTTCTCATAAATGATATGTCATCATTTGACAAAAAACAATGGTGCGTAGACAGCGCAGCATGTCAATTAGAAACATTCAAATCTATATAACCGATAAAATGAAGTATTTGATATTTTTGGTTAATACCGCTGAATTGAAGGTTTGTAGTCTCTTGAACTCTCTTCAGTGATGGTGTCAACAACAAAACATCAAAAAAGGTAAATTATTTATGATCTAATCCTTTGTAATCTGTCATGCATATAATTTTTGCATAAGTCAAAATTAGCAATAATTCCTTGTCTGGCAATAATTTTTTAGCATTCAGTATAAATTTAAATCAGTTCTTGATATATTGGTATAAATATATATAATTTTCCCAATTTTTCCGAAATGTTCATTATCAGGGGCCGGTTGTTCGTACAGCGTTTAGCTTAAACCGTGCATGGATAAGCCAAATTTTAAAATGACTCTTATAGATCTCGTGAATGACCGAATCTTCATTTTATGCATTTAATGTGTACTTTCATCTACAATTTAACTATTTACATTGAAATAGTTCGGTTTATTTGTTCAATAAATAGATCATTTTGTTTTCCATTTTGAACTTATCCACCGTTTAAGCTAAACGCCGTCCGAACAACCGGCCTGTAAGTCTGTAACAATTATATTAGAAAAAAGACAAAGAATGGACTGCTTTTCAATATTTTTTATTTATATATACAAAAGTCAAAGGATGCAGAAACTAGGTTTGATACTTCGCTTGCATTTTCTTCAAACTTTATATAAATACTAAATTGTTTTAGCGAAAGCAAACATGAAACGAAAGTATAAATCAGGATCTGCAAAAAGGGCGGAGAAAAGAAATATTGAAAAAGCTAAAAAAAATACAGCCCCAATAACCTCATTCTTTGAAAAAGCTGAAAATGTTGAGAGTGATGTCTGTGGTGCTGAAGATAATCCATCGATGACTACGTTTTCCGTGGCTGAAGAAGAATCTCAATTATGTACGTCAAATCAAGATGTAGACAGTGGGAGCATCGACAAAAACGCCGAAACTTCTAATGATCAATTAGGACTTTTTAATCTGGCCAATAAATTCCCTACTGACAGAGGGCACTTCCCATCTTTAATTGAAGATGGGAATTTAAAGAGATGTATTCTAAATCATGGCCCATGCAGACCTGATGGCCCATTTACTGTGGAAGACGAACAAGGTAACATAACCACAACCTTCAGTTCGTCATATTATCAACTTCACACCAAGAACAAAACTTGTCCGAGATCATGGCTTTGTTATTCACCAATATTAGGAAAACCATACTGTGAAAATTGCTGGCTTTTTGCTGATTGAAATCATGAACGTTTTACATTGCAAAGTGCATGGGTAGATGGAGTTCAGAGCTCAAAAAAACGATTACCAGCTAAAATTAGTAAACATGAAAACTCAAAGCTTCATATTGAAGCATCTGCTGTGTATCTTAGATGGAAAGAAGGAAAGACAATAGATGATGAAGCGGAAAAGCAGAATCGACGTGAAACTAATTTATGGGTGAACATTTTGAGAAGGGTTTTGGGTTTAATTCTTTGTCTGGCTTCGTTAAATCTTGCTATGCGAGGACATGATAAAAAAGTAGGTGAAGGAGTTGCAAAAGGATGAAATTTTCTGGTTGTAGTGACAATGTTAAGTGAATTTGACACTATTACAAATGATGCTATCTCCTTACCAAAGTATGCGACTCGATACATGAGCCCCAAAATCCAGAATGAACTGATCCTAACAACATCCCAGCTATTGCAAAAGTCTTTGGTCACTCAGATAAATGAATGTCCATTTTGGTCAATTGTGCTGGATACCACAAGCGACATAAACAGAGTAGATCAGCTCAGTGTCACTATCCGATGGGTCCAAATATTGAATGAGAGTGTTTCAATTAAAGAAACTTTCCTCGGTTTTGTATCGGTAATTGACGGAACGGCGGCCGGCCTCGTAGAAACAACATGCAAATATGTCGAAGATATTGGAATTGAAATGGAAAGCTCCGTGGTCAAGCTTACGACGAGGCGAGTGCCATGAGTGGTGTTCACAATGGTGTACAAAAGCTGATAAAAGATCGCTCATCAAAGCCTGTGCCATTCATTCATTCATTGTGCAGCACACAATCTCAACCTTGTAAATAAATGATGCCGTAAATTCCGTAGTTGATAACGATAACTTTTTTAAAGTTATTCAATCCATTTATATATTTTTCTCATCGTCCATCAATCGGTCAAGAGATTTACAGTTGCTTGCTGTTAATTTGTCATTGTCTTTAAAAAAAGCTCTGCGTTACTGGGTGGTCGTCTAGGGTAGATTCAGTCCGTGGAGTACGAGACAGGTTTGTCGACATTTTGAAGCGACTGACAGTCATTTCGTTGACCAGCAAGGAAAAAAAAGAACGTGATGAAGCAGTTGGCATCAAAAAGAATTTTGAAAAAATTGATTTTATCATAAATCTAGTTTTCTGGGAGAGAATTTTGACGTGTACCAACTCCGCATCAAAAGAATTGCAATCGAAAAGTGTCGACCTCAGTGCTGCTTCGAGACCTTTATCCATTAGTTTGTCAGAACTAAAGTATTTACGAGATTCGTGGGAGTCCATTCGAATGACCGCAAATGCCCTTGCTGCGTCATGGGGCATACCCATCGAATTTGAGAAACGACGTAAGCGTGGGGTAAAAAAATTCTTCAACGAATTAGCCTCTGATTCTAGGATCGAGGATTCAGAAAGAGCTTTTAAAGTAAACATTTTTTACAGAACAATTGATGTTGCAGTGACACAGATAGAAGTGCGTTTTAAAGGAATGCAAATGGTCGCAGAAAAATTTGATTTTCTATTCCCAAGAAACTTCGTCAAACTAGAAGCTTCTGAAATTAAAGAAGCCACCTCGAATATACTACGTACGTATGGCGAAGACTTTGATGGTGATGACCTAGAAAGGGAGGTCCGTTCATTTCAAGTTGAATTTCTTAACGAACTAAAAGGGGAGGACGTTACCTCGGTGTCAAGCATTCTTGAAATAATTTACAAAGCCAGAATTGCTTCTTCCTTTCCCCAGTTATGCAAATTGTTATTGTTATTCCTAACAATTCCCGTGACAGTAGCATCTGCAGAAAGGTCCTTTTCAAAGCTGAAGATCATTAAATCCTACTTAAGAAGTTCTATGGCTCAAGAGCGCTTAGATGGTCTAACTTTGATTTCTATTGAGAACGAAGAAATAACTCAAACATTAAAAGATGAAGTTATCAATCATTTCACTTTTGTTAATGCCAGAAGGAAAAGCCGATTTTCGTGTTCATAAAGTGTATAGGGTTTTTCGGACGGGAAATTGCCAGTTAATTTTTTATTGTGACGTGTTTACGCGTAGGACACATAGAGGCATAATCTTAACAATGTAAATAGCTTTTCTGTAGCCAAAACATGCAAGTGAAGATTGCCATTATAATATATGTCGACAATTTTTTAGTGGACCAAAAGGGGGCCACATGTGGCCTATTGACGGGGGGCCTCAAGAGGTTGCGTTACGCCACTGACCTTACTATTGGTTTATTTGTTCAAAATACAATAGACATGTGACAAATAAGGAACAACTTTTTGCATAAATGTTCCCCGACATAGATAATGAGTACTATTGTACTTTTATGTAGTCCCCAAACCATGTATATTCTATTAACTGTGCTCAAACACACTTGCCAGCAGCAACCAAGCTTCATTTGTACATGGCATCTTTAAGAGCCAGGAAGACAACACATCAAAGATTGCTTGGCATGTTTCCACAACAATATCAGAAATTACCATCCTGCCGTCCTGCTAATTCTAAATTGGAACTCCGGAGACTTAAACAACTCTCTCGTTGCAAGATAATGTAGGATGAAAGCTAGTCGTTCATTAGGTTTGATACTTGGCCTCACGTAAGTTTCACATTTTCGAATCCTGCTTTCAAAGAGGTCAACAAGGAAACCAAAGTGTTCCTTTTTCATCCGAAAATAATTAAAATATGAAGCCTCGTCTCCCAGTTCAAGCTCAGGAATCAACTAAACCAAAAAAAAGACCGAAATTATCTAGAAGTGATCGTTAAAAAGCCGAGAAATTTGTACAAATCACATACCTGATGAAAACATCCTCTCTCTTCTCTTCTGGAAATCCATGGTCTCACCCAAACTTTTTTGTGTTGTTTTCGTTTTGCTTTTCATCGAAAAAATCCGTCATTAACAGGAAAATCGCAACTACTTTTCTTTTGCGCTTATTGTTGGGCGCCATATTGAACAGATTTTTGTTTTTCTCGACTGGCATTTGCAACTTGTGACATTTTTTTACCATGCGAGTTGCGTGGAAAACGTGTCCTTCATATATATGTATATGTATATGAAATGCTAATGTCTCGGACGTTTCAGAAAGTATTGGTATTGGACCTAGAAATGATACAGAAGAAAAAGATAGAAGGTGCAGCAAATGTGACGTTCTTGCAAACAGAGTTGTAAAACTTCAAAAGAAAATCAGTTGGCTAAAAAGATAAAAAAAAAGATAAAAAAAAAGCTAAATGACAGTTTAAACATGGTAGATATATTGACTTCTTTCTAGAACCTCGATACTAAATATTAGCAATCGCTTATATTGTATTTTGAATGGAGTTCATGCCCTTTTTTTCAACAAGTGTTTTCTTGATTTTACAATCCAGTATTTTCGTGATTTAAGTCATTTAACTCGACTGCGTGTTTGATGTGCCAGCCGCCGGGTCAGACATATGAGACATTGTTTACAAGATAAGGTCAAGTTTCAAGGCACTTTGCACCCGGCAAATGCCGGTCAAATTTCAAAAATCAATGTATGCTGTTTGCCTTTGAAACTCGCTATTTTAGCTATGTGTATGTATATGTATATGTATATGTATATGTATATGTATTATTATGATGTATATGTATATGTATATGTATATGTATATGTATATGTATATGTATGTGTATATACTGGTTATCTGATATGCATTTTTTTGGGACCGACTTTCGACCAATTTTGAAAAGCTGGCTGGGGGGGTGTCACACCCCCCCACACCCCCCCTAATGTGCGCCCCTGGTCAGATGCTGAAAGTGAGGATAGTCAATCGAGTACAGAAGAAAATGAGTTTTTTGATATTGATGACATCCAGGAGATTGTAAGTGATCAGGATAATACAGATATGGACTGGCAATATGAATATGAACAGTTTCAATGAGAAGCGGAAAATGTTGATGATTCCCAGTCACGAAACACTGTTACGTAAGTTAGAGAACATGAATGATTTACAAACAAAATTCAACTTACAGAAATATATATTTAATCATGTTTAGGATGGAACCTGGTAGCCTGCCATGCGATGAACCGAAATTTATTGGTTTTTACGGCATGCTACTATCGCTGTTTACTATGTTTTGCTTCAATTGCAAGAGTCCAAATCCCAAAGTAGATATCAAGAGGAATGGCTCAATGGCTGTTGTAACTCTATGTTGTTCAGCCTGTGGAGCTATGAAAAGTTTTCAGTGGAACAGTCAGCCATATGTATTAGGAAGGCATGCAGCTGGTAACCTTATGACAAGCTTTGCTATCTTAATGTCAGGTGTTAGTATAAGCAAGGTGTTTCTACTTTTCAAGCATTTGGGCCTTTGTTCAATTACCAGTAGAGCATATTACATACACCAAAACAAATTCCTGATCGCCTGTGTGATGACGCATTGGGAAAAGTACCAAAAAACCCTTATTGAGGAACTGAAGAAAATAAAGGATGCTACTTGGTCTGGCGATGGTCGTTTTGATTCAATGGGCCATAGTGCCAAGTATGGTGCTTACTCTATGTTCTGCAATAGTATTTCCAAAATTGTCCATTTTGAAATCAGACAGGTAAACTATAGACTATTTAAATTAAATGTCAAATTAATTCAATACATAATTAGTTCAATTTACTTGGCTTGGAGTTTCATAAGCAATGTTGACTACAGCAGGTTGTTGCACACCCTCCATTTCTTTTTGTATAGTCAAATCAGTCAGGTAGCAGCAATGCCATGGAATTGGATGGAGCTCAACGGTGCTTCCAATTTCTGAAGGATAATGGACTGAAAATTCCAATATTTATCAGTGATCGGCATAAAGGGATCGCAAAGTGGATCAGAACTACTGAAAAGGAAACCCAACACTTCAATGATTTGTGGCATGTTTCCAAAGGACTTTCCAAAAACATCTTGAAAGCTAGCAAAGAAAAAGGATGCGAGTTGTTGGCATTGTGGATGAAAGGTATCCGTACCCATTTGTATTGGAGCGCTATGTCTACAAAGATGGGATATGGGGATATGATTGTAGCGAAATGGAAATCCATTGTCAGGCATATTGCAAACAAGCATGAAAATCACCCTGATGAGTTGTTTCCACAATGTGCTCATGACGAACTTGATGATCGTCTTTGGATTCAAAATGGTATGTATTAACTTTTAGATAGTTTTGTACCTTCTATTCTTTCTATGAATTTGTTTATTTCATCTGCAGGAACAAAAGCCTTCCAGCAGCTTTCCTCCATTTTGCTAAAAAAAACAATGCTAAAGGATGTTAGACGACTATCCTCTGAAGCACAAACCAGCTGCCTAGAAGGTTTTCATTCAACATTAAATGGCTGGCATCCAAAGATGACCCACTTTTCATGGCTTGGCACCTACTGCAGGTAAAAGAATTATTGCTAAATCTATACAATATCTTTCCTGTTTCACTTGTAACTTTTAATTATAACTGATTTGCTCCATTTAGACACACCCTAGCAGTACTTCATTTTAATGAAAACCTTAACCGCCAACCGAAAACAACCAAAAATGGAACACCGTATTATAGTGTGACATACCCGAAATTTAAATTTGGGGAAGAAGTTGTGAGAACAGTTTCTTCAGCTCCATCATATAGTAAGTGTGGTGATGCTGAGCAATGTGAAGAGGAATCTATAATCAACCCCAGGTTTAACCAAAGTACTTTGATATTATCTTTCCAGACTATGTTAATGAAATAAAAATGGTCGTGATGTTTAGTTCTGAGGAAACCCTGGACAAGGTGACAAAGAAATATAAGGAAAACATCCCAGAAGCCTTGAATACAAGTTTCCCAGGTCGACTGTCCAAAACTGAAGCAATCAAACGCCAGTTGGATAGAAAGCAACTTCCTTCAACTCCATTGTTTCCTTCATGTAGGTTGTTCATGCAAACATATACAACAAGCATGGATAACACATTCTAAAAATTCCAAAATAAATTGTTAGCCTTATATTTGCAGATCAAGATGCGATGCAAGCTAGAGCTTTGGCTCTAGAAAAAGAAGCTGCTTCAACAGTTCCCACTAAAACAAGGAAAACTCCTTGCTGCAGAAAATGTGGACAGCCTATGAGGGGTCATTCAAAAAGTCAATGTTCACAAGGATCAACTGACAACCAGTCTTAAAAGCAACCTTTCTATGTAAATATAATTGTAAATACTACAGTGTAAGATAAATAATATAATTATGTGTTGAATGTTTCATACTTTCATTAGTTTCTTTGCTGTGAAGACTTGTAGCCAGCAAATTCATTGGGATTTCCTAGTGGAAATCTCTTTCTAATGTCTGTGTAGATGCATGCAGGTAAAGGTCTAGAATTTTCCCAACCAAGGCATCCACACAGCCATCGAATAATCCACCGGTATGCAACTGCTCTTAAGTATCTATAAAAAATATCCACTTATCAAAAAGTATCTATTTTGACCGAGTCAAATTGACTTACTCATTTTCATGGATCCCACGGCGCTTGTATGACCTTCCATCTTTGTCTCTCAAAAGTGGGCCAACATTTTTCAAGACTGTTGGATGGGTCATCACCGTATATTCCTCATGAAGGGTGACACAGCTTATTTTTTCAATGCTGCCATCGAACACCAGTTGATGCAAAGCAGGCCCTACCTCTCTACAACATCGGTATTCGATAGCATCTGTAAGCATTTCCGTTCGACACAAGCTACATGCGCACCTATAAAACAAGAAGTACTAATTTATTTCACAACGAAATAAGAGAAAAAACTTCAATTTGATAACTTACCATTCTTCCAATTGAGCCGTTCCTTCGAATCTCGCTTCCAACGTCCGAGGGTCGATGCCATCTGCGTCGTCTTCGACAGACACGAAATTCTCCTCGGCGTCGTTTGCCAAAGGCTCGTTTTCATAAGGATTCACAACCGAGTTTACAACTAGTGTATCCTCATCGCCGGAATCCGAACGCAAATTTTCATTTTCAGCGTCAGATTTCTCGCTTTCGAAACTCGTTCGCTCTCACTGCTTGATAAACTCATGTTTATTCATGAATATATTCAGCGCATCTATCAAAACACTAGCAAAGCTATGCTCTTACTTCGACTTCCGTCCTTTTAATTACGTCACACCGGCATCATATATCAGGAATAAAAATTCGCACGCATAACCTAACTTTGAGGCAAAATCTATTTGTGTTCCCATTATTCGATTTTGATAAAAGATATACCAAATTGATCAGGAAAGTTTGAATTATCCAATAAAGAAAAAAAAAAGGTACCCAAAATTTCGTTTCAGTAGCACTTTAATTCCTTTGCATGTTTATCCAGAAAGAGGGAATCTACAAACCAAAAGAGCGTAACGTTAGGAATAAAATACAATTAGTCTAAAATATGTCGTAAAAGAGGAGCGAGTACAAAAACAGAATAAAAAACTTACCAAATTAATGTGCTGATGATAATATTTTTACACATACAGTGACAATAAATATAATAATAACATAGAGAAACATACAATAAACATTAAGGAATAAAGATAATAATTTATTACAGAATAAAGGGGTTATGAGATCTACATCACAATCCGAAGTCCAATTTCAAACCTATAATATGGTTTGTCAATTTAAAATGCACTGCTGTTGGTAGTCTGTGCTAAATGATCTAGCCGGTATTGTAAATTAGCTGATGATTTCAAGCTTGTTAATCACTCATATGTCATGGGTTCAACGATGCAAGATGAAAGAGACTTCACTCTGCTTATAGCCACGTATGAAATTCCAGCAGTTCTTTTCCAATATCTATCCAAGCCTTTAGAAGAGTTAATCATTGTCTCTTGTGTATTGTTAGAGCCCAGGCGAGTCTTAGAGGCAACTGTTGCCGTTCATGAAAACCTGTTTCTGACTGTGATGAGACTGTGATGAGACTGTGATGAAACTGTGATGAAATTTAAACTGAAAATGCTTCAACCTATTTTAATATATACAAACAAAAAAAAACCTATAATTGCATTGAAATATTCTGTATGTTAAATCAGTTGTCGTCCATATCAATGTCCTCTTCACATTCACTTTCATTATCTTCACTATCACTTCGCTCTTTCTCATCATTTGATCCATCATCGATATCACCACTACCATTAAAATGCCACTAACCCCCTATTTTTTTTTCCCATGAAATAAATTACCATTATTTATGGAGTACAAAACTGGAGAAATTTTTTCAATCGATTAAATCCTCGCGATTTTATGCCCTCTCAAAGTTGGTAAAATTGCCCAAAAATCGTCGCCATTTTGTTCCACGAGCGCTAGTTGATTGATTAGAGCTTTGACGTCATTTGGTGAACCTGCTGTTTTTATCAACACTAATAAAAGTGTTAGGTTACAGTGCTATGCAAGTTTGCTAGGCGGGTGAACAAGGGAGAAAATGCCGAAAAGATGCGTTGTTGCTGGTTGTAGCAACATAGGAGATAAGGAAAAAGAAATATCGTTACATGCTATTCCTTTTTTGGGGGATGAACGAGCGGAAGCAAAAAAAAGACGAAAGAAATGGACTGACTTTGTAAGCCTCAAACGCGCAAAATGGACGCCGACGGCGTATTCAGTCATATGCTCTGAACATTTTAAACCTGAAGATTTCTCGCGACAATTTTCGCATGTCGAAGGTGAAAGCACCGTTGCCAACAGATGGCTCAAAAGGGACGAGATCGGTATTTGCGTATTCCCAACAATCATGCCACCGACTGACACGCCAAAAACTTCAGACAGGGACAAAAGAATGGTATGCTAATTCACATTTATTTTATTTACATAACTTTGCGTAACTTTGAATCTGTTCGACTGATATAATTTGAACTGATATTAAAAAGGCGCTTAAGCTGCCATAAAGTATAAATTGACCGAAGCATATATATAAGAAAAACACATTTGAAAGTCTGAACTTTGTTTGTCATTAGTTCATAGTAATGATGGTATCATGTGGCTTTTTGTTTCACATGCAACTTGATACAATTTTTAACTGTTTTGTAGATCTTAAAGGAAGCAATAACCATGCAAAGAGGGCCAGAATCGAGTTCTACCACTGAGCCAACCACGTGCAAAGAAATTGACCTATCAAACAATCCAAGCACTAGTCAAGAGAGGGATGATTTTAAGACCCCTGACCCTGAACCTGATCAAATTACTGCCTCATCCGAGTTGCCACCTGCATGCAGGGATTGTGAACACCTTTTAGCAGAGAACAAAAAACTGTCCAGAAATGTGACAACATTGGGGGCAATTGTAAAAAAAAGACAAAATGAAGTCAAAACATACAGGAGAAAAAGTAGGAATAAAGTTACCTTCTATTGCAATTTGCAAATCAGTTTAGTAGGACAGTTCTCAAATTTTCTGTTTGGAAATAAAAACTGCCTATGATGTGATGTGCCCATTGTATTGTTTTATTGTGACAAAGAGTCCTTTAATTTTTAGTTAAAAATTTGGAATCAAGAATAAAAAGGGTAAAAACAGCTGCAAACAGTGCAGAGAAATACAAAGGGGTAGAAGAAGCCATTGCTGTTGAAAGTGATGAAAATGAGGATGAAGAGGAGTATGAAATGGATGTTGAATACCCAGAAGAGGAAAGTAGCTCTTAAATATCCCAGTATGAAACAGAAACAGAAACTTCTGAAACTGAGGATTCAATTAACTTAGAAATGTAAGTCTACATTCGTATGAATTTTCAAAAGTTCAAATGGTTTTTTTAACTATCACAATTACAATTTTTTGTACATTCTTATTATTTGTTGAGTGATGTATTTTGCAATTTCTTTATCTTATAGATTACCTCTGGCAGGCACAAACCTTCGGACTGAACCTAAGCATATTGTGTTTCTTTCCAAGTTACTTCAATTGTTCAAGTTCTGTCAAAAATGCAAACATGACAACTCTGAGATAGAGGTGAAAGAATGTGGAACTAGTATTTCAATAAAATCAAAATGCCCTTCATGTAATCAGGAGATGGAATGGCATAGTCAGCCATATATGCCTGATTCCAAATCACAAATAAGAGCGGGTAATTTCCTCCTAAGCTTCTCAATACTAGTCAGCGGAGGATCACCTGGGAAGACTCTAAAGCTTTGCAAACATATGGGACTTGGTTGCATCAGTTTGAAAACATACTACATATATCAGAGGGTAAGTAAAAGGACATAAACATGTATATAAATAATTCAAAATGGATTGCCTAAATACTTTACCAGCATGTCCCGAACACTTCAATACCGGTACTATATTTATAGATGTAATTAGATAGTTAATACTGCAATAGTATGAACTTATACAATTGTGAACTGTGAATTAAAACTTGGCTCAAGTAACAAAATAAATTGGTCATTCCCAGTTGTACACAAAGGGTACTTATAAATACGAAGATGAAGATGAAGGCAAGCTATTGATTTGCGATGAAGCAGCAGTATGTTCCGAGCTATTTTACCATCGTAAATGCTACCAGAAACTGACAAATAAAAGAGTAATCGAAATGGCGGAAAAACGAGTGGGAAAAAAAGAGAAAAGTTTAGAGAAAAAAAACGAACCAGCAAGAAAATCACGTCGAAGCTCAACCGAGACATCAGCATCAACCAGTGAAAATGTTAAAGCGAAAAGTACTGGAATACTCCCACAGATATGTATAATATGCAAAAGAAAAGAATTATACTACAATGACAAGCTAGTAAGCTAGTAACTATGATGTATACAACACAAGGTATATAATAAAACATGCATACACAAGAAATTTCAAAAGGTTATGCTCTCTGAAGGAGGTCAGAAGGTCCATATTTTTATCATACAACCAACACCGTACTTATAAATAAGGGTAATTACTTTTTCTGGTTTAGGAGAAATTACTTCCAGCAATCAATATCTGTTGGGAGCAATACCAAAAAAATGCTTTAGAGAAAATTAAAAAGAAGGTGGTGATGAGATTGTTGTTGCTGGAGATGGCAGACATGACAGTATGGGTCATAGTGCCAAGTTCTGTGCTTATACCATGTTCTGTTGCAATATACCTATGATAAATCACTTTGGGATTGTTCAGGTACCTAAATATTGCATAAGATACTCTTGTATCTAAAAAGTAGTCCTATTAATATTATTGATAATGTATTGCATTTTAATTAAATTTAGAGAAATGAAGCTGGAAGCAGTCCTGCCATGGAATTCTTGGTTTTCAAGAAGTGCATAGACGACCTTATTGGCTGGGACTTGTTGATCACAACATTCATTTCTGATAGGCACAAGTCTATCTCCAGTCACAGGAAGAAAGTGTTGAAGCACATAACACACTATTTTGATATTTGGCATCTAAAGAAAAGTGAGTGAGATAGGGGAACATTGAAATAGTGTTTACTAATGATTTGAACTATAGTTGTTTCAAGTTGAAACAAGTTGTTTCCATTTTCATAGAAATTCGTAAAGTGCTGTCAAAGATACCAAAGGAGAAAGGCTTTGAATTGAAGACTTATAGGCCATCAGCCACTCACTAGATTTATGAATTTTCGTTGCACCCCAACGGAGACTACAATTTAACCATTAAAAATAACGCTTTTGTGTCCATATAACACGATTTAAAATGTGACTAGATTCGGCATGCAGTTTTAATCAAAATGAGCTCAAAGTTGAAGTATCTTCAAAATTTTCATCGCAATTTGCTGTGCATGTAGTTCCACGCGTTTTCACGAATGAGTTCTGGCATGCTATTGGACAACTTTGTATCTTGCCAAGGTCAAAACATAGAGCTGTCATGGCGGACACAATACAAGACAAAGAGAACCGATGTTTTATTCATTTTAATAGCACAATATCAAAGGATGACGAGATTTTAATTACGGCTACTAGGACGTCATTGTGTAAGATTGTTGAGTGTAGATCACAATGGATTGTTTTGAATGGCGAAGCCAGAGAAGTAAGTGAACAAAGTTTTGAATACATGAA